CCTTTTTTTTTTTTTTTTTTTCTCTGCCATTTATGAGCTTGGTTTTGTTCCCTGAGGACTAACATGCCTCAGAAGCAGGAACCAGGAGTCCAGGACCATGTTCTTAATCATTTCCACTTTGGTCATCCTTGTATACCTGTGTCTCCAACTGTGAGCATGTCTGGTTTGATGAGACACCACTGTGGAAAGACACAGGCTATGACACTACTCAATATCCTCTCCATTACGTTATGTACAAGACCCTTATTTTAGGGTTGTATGGGAGGTGAAAGTGAGGTGTTTCTATCAACTGCTCCATAACCTGGTAGAACCCTTTGGAAGAGCAATCTAACCCACCCATTGTCATCAAGTCGATTCTGATTCATAGCAACCCTAAAGGACAGAGTAGAACTGCCCCATAGGTTTCCAAAGCTGTAAATCTTCATGGAACCTGACTGCCTCATCTTCATGGTGTGGATGGTGGGTTTGAATCACTGACCTTTAAGTTAGCAGCCCAATGCTTTAAGCACTACGGCATCAAAGCTTTTTGAAGAGCAATTCTGAAATAATTAAAATGTCATACCATTTGCCTCATGAATGCAACTTCTGAGACTCTTGCCTAAGGAAATAATCCAAAGTGTAGATATGCCCAAAAATGTTCACTGCATTATAGTTTATAATAATAATAAAAAAATTATAGACCACCAAAACCTGATAGTAGGGGAAAGATTATATTTATTAACAGAATTTTTGGTAGTTATTATAAGGTCAGTTATAATGACTTATAAACTCATCCCCTGCCATTGAGTTGATCCTAATGCCTGGCACACATGGTCCTTCATGAAAATGGCCCTACTTACTTTCCCACTCTAGTCCTTCACTCCACCCTCACTTTCTATCCTCTATCATGCCCCAAACCAAAACCAAACCCATAGCCATTGAGTCAATTCCTACTCATAGCAACTCTATAGGACAAAGTAGAACTGCCCTAGAGGGTTACTGAGATTGTAAATCTTTTTATTTTAATGCATTTTATTGAAATATAATTTATGTACAGTGAAATACACAAAACTAAAGCGACATGGGTCAATGTATTTTTTTTTTCAGTGTTCCTCCCCTCCCCTCCAACCCCTGGTAACCAACAAAGAAAGTTTCTCTCCGTATATAAACCTTTCCTTGACCCTCCACAACAATGAACTAATACTACTGTATTTGTCCTTCTGTGATTGACGTATTTCACTCAGCAGAATGTCCTCCAAGTTCATCCACATAATGTGGTGTTTTGCAGACTCTACATTATTCTTTAGTGCTACATAGCATTCCATTGTGTATGTACCATAGTTTGGTTACTCACACTCCTGCTATAAATTTTAGAGATAAGTCCCTTGCCAGATAAGCACTTAACAGCAAATATGAATTTGTTGCTGTCATTTTTGTTATGTGCTTTTTCGTGGTGTCAATTTCTTTGTTCCATATAATTTTCTATGCTGAGCTCATTTTGTTTATGAATCGTGTTATCCCTTCCTTCATTGCTATTGTTTTAGTATTTGCTGAATATTTATGCTGGTCCTCTTTTTTGATGTGAATGTTTATCATTTTTCTTTGAGGTTACCCTGTGATTTATAGTTTTCTTCCCAAGTATAGAACAATCTGTTCTACCTAGTAGTTCTCTTGACTTTCCTACCATCTAGAAGTTCTGCAACAACACAGTTTTTTTTTCCCTCTTTTTGGTTTGTAGTTGTCCTCATTTGTCAATTGATGTCTCTGGTTCCCTGTTTACAATCTTGTAGGTTCAAACCCACCAGCCACTCCTCAGAAGGTTGGGCAATCTACTTCCATGGTAATACTGCCTTGGAAACCCAAGGAGGGGTCACTATGAGTTGGGTCTGATTTGATGGCAATAACAACAACAACAAGGCTTATTTACTTTGGATACTTTTGTAGCTGGGTTGGTTTCTGAGTTATATCATCATGTGTGTTAATGGTCAGTTGTTGGGTGTTGTTGCTTTTCTGTCCACAGGGCACCCTTTAGCATTTCTTGTAAGGTTGGTCTGGTTTTAACAAATTCCCTTAATATCTGCTTATCTGGAAATGTTCTCATTTCACCATGAAATTTCACCATGATATTTCAGGCACAATTTTGCTGGGTACATAACTCTTGGTTCACAATTTTTCTCTTTCAGTGTTTTATATATACCATCCCATTGTGTTCTCGCCTGTATGGTTTCTCTCAAGAAATCTGAGCTTAATCTTATCGGTTGCCCCTTGTAGGTAACTTTTTGTTTTTCCCATGCTGCTCTCATGATAGTCATTGGTTTTGGTAAGTTTGATGATGATATATCTGGGTGATTTTCTTTTGGGGTCTATCCTGTTTGAGGTTTGTTGGACTTCCTGAATGGATATATTCTCATCTTTCATCATACCAGGAAAATTCTCTTCCAACAAACCTTTGACAATTTTCTCAGTAGTTTCATTTTTCTCTTCGTTCTGGAATTTCAGTGACATGTAGGTTATTCCTTTTGATGATATCCCACATGAACCTTAGGCTTTCTTCATTTTGTTTTGATCTTTTTTGATTTATCCCTTTCCAAAGAAGTGTTCAGGTATTTGCCTTCAATCTCCCTAATTCTGTCTTCCATTGATTCAATTCTGCTCCTTTGCCCATTCAATGTCTTATCTATTTCTGAAAATTTAGCATTAATCTTTTGGATTTCTGTGTGTAGATTTTATCATTTTTGATTTTTCATTTATTTTGTCATTTTGTTCTTGTGTTGTCTTTCAAAATTGTTGTAGGGTTTTCTCTGTGTTTTCCTTGATCTGTCTCTCAATTCATTGAAGATACCTAACTATAATTCTTTTGAATTCCTTATCAGGAAGTTCCAATGCTGTGTCTTCCTCAGGGATGTTTTGGGTCTGTATCCTGGTCCCTTGTTTCTCCTACTTTATCTTGCTTCTTTGTGTGGACTGTGATGCTCTGTTGTCTCTGAGGCATTGTGGCATTTTTGTGTTTATATTTAATTGGTGATTGTATGTTGGAGTGACTTGCCCACAATTTTCATTTTGCGTTGTTTGTATGTTATCTATGCAAGCAGGATACTGTGCTGTGTTCCTCTATTTGCTAGTGGGCAGCACTTATACACTCACCACCTGTCTCCTTTCCTGTTGTCAGCCTCTCATATGTTCCTGCCAACCTTGACAAACAGAGCCTATTCTTAGGTCCCTGGACTCCGAATAAGAATGCTATCACTTTAAAATTCAAAATGGTTGCCACTTATAAAAATTCAAAATGGCTACACCCTCGGTAACTTTAAAGATCCAAAACGGGTGCTGCATGTAAACAATCAAAGTGGCTGTGCCTTCCGGACAGCGGAAAGTCAACAGCTCAGGTTGTCTCCCTCCTTGCTGTTTCCCTTCCTGGTCATAGGCCACCAGCACAGTCGTCCCTGCAGCCCTTGGTGACCAGGGCTGATCTTTAGGTCAAGTCTCAGGTTCCAACACCACTTGAAAATATTCAGGCTGTTGCTTCCATCGGAGTAGCTGACAGTCCACAGCTCCAACCATCTCTGTACTCACTGTTTTCCTTCAGGTTTTTCCACTAGTTGGTGCCTAATCCACTTCTGTATAGTTCCTTTCAAAGCTCAGGGTTCCAGGATTATTTTCTGTATCTCTGTCAATTGGTTTTTCTTTTCTTTGTTGAAGAGGGTCTGGGTTGCTTGTCTGCCTATTCCTCCCTCTTCCAGAAGAGCCAATTGCCTTTTCTGTACCAATTGAAATGATCATGTTTTGTTTTTTCATTCTATTAAGGTGGTATATTATATTGATTGGCTTATTTTATGTTGAACCACCCTTGCATTCCTGGGATACTAAACTTGTTTTTTGAGTATCTGGTACCAGACTTAACGTTCCTTGAGGACAGGATGAAGGCACTTGACTGCTAACCAGAAGGCTGGTGATTCAAACCCATCAGCCACTCCTGGGAAGGAAGGTCGGGCAATCTACTTCTGTAGTGATACCTCCTCAGAAACCCAAGGAGGGGTCGCTATGATGAGTCCAGTCCCACTCAAGGGCACATAACAACAACAACAACTGTATCTCCAGTGATGATACATGTAAGATGCTGAATAAATATTGTTGAGAGTAAATACAATGAGTAGGAAATTTCTCAGGAGAGTTACAGATCATTGTTCATCCAGTACTGTCAAGTGAGAAAGCCAGTGAATCTGTGAAAAACGTCCCTTTCGCCAGAGAAGTGTGCTCTATTGTTTAGCAAGGTGTACTTCATTGAACTTTTCTGTGGCCAAAGTTAACCATCACCAGTCTTCCCCTGTTGGCGGAATCATCCATTTGCTTTAATTGCAATCTTTTGGTTACTGATTCAGCCTCTTTGATTATTTGATACAGTCCTAATATCTTGTGGTAACTAGAAAGGTCAGTTGAAGGTCTTTTGTTTTGCTTTCAGTGATTATGCAGCCTTGCTCATTCCTGTCTGTCGCAAGCAATTTCGTTTTGGGGAGAGAAAAGTCTCGCTTAGACGTCTGTTACTATCTTGCTAAAACCATGACCTTGTACTAATAATTTCAATCTAATTTAGTAGACAAGAGATACAATGTTTCCACTGTGAGTGAGGGAAAACTGGAGTTGGGGGACTTTTGGATTTTCGCTGGGAAAAGAGAAATCCTTTTCACAACATTTCTAAATAGTTCGCCCTCATGGTTTACCCTAGTCTCCGTTACTTAAAGTATATTAAGCCCTGTGAAAACCAGAGACGCCGAAGTCATCCGCAACCCCGCCCCTTGCGTCCCAGCGGAGTCTGTAAACAGCCAGATTGCTCCCCGCAGTTCTTGGGGGAGGGAACTAGGGGAACCTCGTCACCATCTTGGTTGTGGTTAAGCGCAGCGCAGTCGTAGGCGTCCCTCATCCCTTTTGCGCACGCGTATTGAAAGTACGCTACCCCTCCACCCCATTCCTGTGCACGAGCTCCGAGCCCGCAACTCTCGCGAGAGAAGCGAGATTTATTCCTACGTACCGGGCCGTGCTGCTTATGGCGGCGCTGGAGAGGGGGCGCTGAGCTGTTGGGGTGAGTATGACCTCAGCGTCCAGTTGAGGGTAGCAAGGAGCTAGGCTAAGGGCGGATGATAAGACCAAGACTAATGGGAGAGACTTTTGAGTCAGAGTAGGGACGCCTACAGCTTCGGGTAGGGAAGATCACACCGAGGGTCCCTGTTCCAGGCTTCTGTACATGTCCCCTGTTTAACCGACTGGGGTTCACATCAGACCACTGAGCTGAAACGAGAAGTTGAAGGCAGGCTTGTGTGCGTCGTGGTAGTGGTCGTGGTGGTGGTGACTAAAGTGGGGGGAGGGAGCGAAAATGGAGGCTCCGACCGCAGCCAAGATGGAGGCAGAGGGTGCGGGGCTCTGGCGCGAAGGCTGCTGGGAGCTGTAGTCTGGCGGATTCCCCTTTGCGGCTTGGCGGGGAAACGAGAACTACAAGTCCCGGCGGGCGGGGCAGGGGGGTGGTGGCGCGGTCCTTTGTGTGAAGCTGGAAGCGACAGAGGTAGAGGAGAAGGGCCTACTCTGATTCTGGACATTATAGTTTCCTAGCTGTCACCTGCTTGGGGATCTGACACGAGTATCAGAGCGGAGTGCATCTGTGGCGCCTCCTTTGTCTAGGGACTGAGACCTCGCTTCGCTAGAGGAACTGTTTGGAGACACCCCTTTTCCACAGCCACGTCTGGCATGGTAGCGCAGTGGAATTGCCATCCTTATTGTACTCACCTAGAGCTATTTTTCTGGGGTCTCAACACCCAGTTATCCATTTATCGCCTCCTCTTAGGCTTCTTGAGAAGGGGAACCACCTCCTAATTATTTAGGCGCTTAGCTCCCTCTCCCCTCTCCTGGAGAAAGGGCGAGCGCTGTAGGAACTCTGTGGAGTCCTCCCTACTACCTTCTCTGGCTCCTATGGTGCAAGCGTCTGGCCTACATTGTGCAATGAGCAGGCTGGCTTCGTCATTCTATGTGGAATTAGTTTTTCAGGGCCCGGGTCGGAGACACTGTTCTAGATTTTCACCGTCAGTACGAAATCTTAGTGACATGATTCTTAAGAGCCACATGGTTTTTCCTTTTAAAACACCCATCCCTTCTTCCTTGGTTGATTCGCAAGTGAGGCAGGAAACGCTCCCCAAAACAGGCCTTGGGTCTGCAGACAGAAAAATCTGAACGTTGCTGGGCGAGGTAGTTCACTTGTTTTGCACCTAAAATGACTAAAAGAATCTGGTGCTGTTTAAATAGGGCGGAGAAGGAGGGAGCACGCTCAGAGGCACCGTGGTAGTTAAGTATTTCCTTTAAGAGACTTAGATTTTTATCTGGCAGGATGAACTGGCAGCTCTCAGCCAGAGCTGCCACCCTTTTAAAATATAAGTTCCGAATTACAGCCTATCAGTATCTTTACCGAAATGATGAGTAATTTTCATTTGGAATTTCTAGAATTTTCAGTACTGCATTGAGGGGCTGTGTAATACCTTGGTGTTCTTTTGGTACTAACCAATAATGGGTATATCCTTGATGTGGGTAAGAAGGACTCTTTAATACTTCAGTAGTTACATACCTGAGCTTTAAAACTTTGTTTCTTTTAGCCCGAGGCCCAAAATAAAAGAGATGGTAGTAGTTTGAGTGATTTCTGCAGCTGCTCTGGATGTTTACCATTGAGATGAGTATTTATAGCAGCTGAGTTTTAAAGTGAAGTATTTGAGGCCAGAAGATAGGTTTACTTTTTATGTAAATAAGTTCTCTTAGCAAGTGTGACCTTTAATGAGTGTGATTGAAAATTCTAGTAAATTCCTAGCAAATTAAGATTGAGACTATGAAAGTGGACATGCAGATTTTTCTGCCTGTTACAGCCCACCCTGTATTCCCTCTCCCCTTACCTAGAGACTCTTAGACCACATAGGGTTGTACTATTCACAAGGTGGTTGAAATATCTTTTGGACAGATTTTTAAGGAGTTTCATTTTAGGACTGATATTACAAAAATTAAATAAAAGTCTTGATCTTGTTAAATCAACAAAGAATTTATTTCTTCTGAATTTTGTCTTTTTAAAAAGCAGGAGAAATCACTTTGAGACCTTTGTCTCTTACTGTATATAATATATATTATAAATATTATAATTTTGATTGGATAATTAACAGTGAGTGCTGTTAAAACTTTCAGCATATTTCTTAATGAGAGTTACTAGAAGTGGTGGGGGGTGTAGCATTCAGCTTGTTTACTTGAATCTCATTATTTCCTGCTGTTAAATGGGGTGGAAAACAATTCATTGGTCTTACTATTAGAAAGTTTTCCACTTGCATGTATGAATACCTAGTTAAAAAACTAAAACAATACAAAACTTATTTTCAGTTCATACTATTGCCAAGCTTGAATCCTTGAAGTTTCCATTGTGTTACGTGTTTCATTAGGAGTTTTGAACTGAATATAATATTCTAGGTATTTGTTCAGAATTACTGAATAGGGTTTTTTTTTGAGCATTTTAAAATATATGCCTTTTTATGCTGACGTAAATCGTTAGTGTATAGTTGAACCGATCAGCAGTTTACTCACATTGCACATGTAGGCTAGTCATTGGTTTGCAGCTACAGCCAGTACACGGTTAGCTATTTGCACTTCTGCTTTTCTACTTTAATAGCTATAAACTCCTCTCTGGTTAAGTCTGTGCTAGGTACTGCCCCCTTTATCACTGAAAATCTTTGCCCAAGGTCTTAAATTTATTACTGCTTAATTGGTCACTCTGTTGCCTTTATTATTTGGTCTATGAGGAGCCCTGGTAGCACAGTGACTAAGCACTAGGCTAACTGAAAGATTAGTTGTTCGAACCCACCAGCTGCTCCCTGGCATAAACATTATAGCCTTGGGAACCCTATGGGGCAGGTCTCTGTCCTGTAGGGTTACTATGAGTTGAAATCTACTTGAGAGCAACAGGTTTTTTGTTTGGTTTTCTTCAGTCTATACCTGTACTTTCTATATGGTAGCTACTTGCTACCTGTGGCTATTGAGCACTTGAAATGTAACTAATCTGAATTGGTCATCTTCAGTAATTAGAAAATAAATGTTTGATTTGGAAGAATGTTAAAATCCTAACTTTCTTTACAGATTACATGTGGAAGTGATAACATTTGGAAAATATCTGGTTAAATATTTCTAAATTTCACTTTTTTTTTAACTTTAATACTAAGCCAAACCAAAACCAAACTCAATACCATTGAGTCGGATGCTACTCATTGCAACCCCTCCTTGGGTTTCCCAGGCAGTACCACTACTATGGAGGTAGAATTACCCAATCTTCCTGCCGAGGAGCGGCTGGTGGGTTTGAACTATAAGACTTCTGGCTAGCCAACAAAAGCCTTCGGCGCTATGCCACCAGAACTCCTAACTTTAACAGTAGAGTATTTAAAATAGAGTATTTAAAGTACATATTTCTGTTGGACAGTGCTGGTCTGTACTGTTCTCTGATTTTTATGTCTGCACTATTTCTTCAGCTTCTTCTCACACTGACATCTGTCTTCAAAGTATGTAAAAAGTGATAGATGGATATATAATTTTAAATAGCTTATTACCTAAATACTTTGTAGAGATAATAACCCAGCACAATTGTTTTTACTAAATGTAAAGATAAACAAACAAACAAAAAACCAAACTTAATACCATGGAGTCAATTTGACTCATAGCAACTCCTCCTTCGGTTTCCAAGGCAGTATTTCTACAGACATAGATTGCTCAACCGGCCTTCCGAACGAACTCCCAGCCTTCTGGTTAGCAGTTAGATACATGCCTTAGGGACTACACCACCAGAGCTCCCATTCATTTGGTTTTCTGTTATTTCATCTCAACAGGTGATAACTCAGATCATGTTGGTTCATGATCAGAACTTTTATAATTTACGAGTCTAAAGTAAAAGTGAATTAAACAGACTGTTAAGCACTTCACGTGCAGATTATTGCACAATGTGATATATTTGAAGTTTTGCAATAATGCATCAGGAAATAAGAAGTGGGAAGTTAAGACTGACATTTCAGCCAATAGAGAGAACCTTTTTAATCCGAAGTTGCCTATTTGGGTTTTCGCTTTTCTTTCCAAACAAAATTCCCCTGAGGTAGGTAGGGGAGCCTTTTGTAGACTGATTTTTACCTTTCATTAATATTCTTCCAAAATGAGTGCTATATGAACTTTCAGAATAATTGGCCAGAATGTTAAGCTGGGTAATGTTTATTTTAGATGAATTATCACATCAGTGTAGTACTCCAGTATGATAATTCAACAAGTACTTAGTGCTTTCTCTTAGGCCTGTGTGATACAGTAGCGAACTGGTGGAGATAGTAAATAACAAACAGGTGGTGATAATTTTAAGACCCATGAAGTAGGGACTAACCATTTTAATGATCACTTCAAGTAAAGAGATTCTCTTTGACTTCTAAAGCAGAATGACATAATTGTTAACATTTGACTAGTAGTGATACTGTTTCCGTATTGACCAAAGGAAAAATAAATGATTACTTAGCAATCAGAGGCTCTCAGATTTAAATTGTTCCTTAGTTTTTTTGATTCGTACTCTATACTTCTTGTGATTTAGAAATTGTCTGGCTTTTCAGGGAGTGAGTGGGTATGGAATGTACTTTTTCAGAAGTTTAAGCAAGAGAAGTTGTCAGTACCATCAATTGAATGCTAATGATCCTAGCTTAGTGGACAAATTTTCTGAAAATACCTGACTAGTAACTTGGAAGCCTTCAGTATTACTTAGTTGAAAACCATTGTGTTTACCTTAGAAATCTCCTAGCTGTGAAGATACTAGTGAAACAAATTCAGCCACTCTCAATTATTCATCATTATTGGTGGATTTAGCTTGAATAGATGCTGATACAATTCATTAGTCTCCAAGACTTTAGCAATACTCCAGGTGTTAGATCTCTTATTTCTGTGTTACTAAATGACATACTTAATAGTTGTTAGCATAATAACTTACATTGGGTAAATCCAGTTCAAGTTGTTCTTGGTATTTTTTTCCATCATGCACACAGTCTTGTCCTT